ATTCCCCGAACCAGATGGGAATTTTTTTTTTACAAAGTTTGTCCTTGTTTATGATCTTTTGATGAATTTTCAAAACTAAGACTTTTTCTGGGGAAAGGGCAATTTCTTTTAGTTTCTGGATTGAAGAAACCACTGTTATGTCCTCTTGGAAATGAGATCATTATGTAATAGATCTGTGAAAACACAAGAAAGCAAGAGTAGTTCAGAAAGCAATCTGTATTACTAGGAAAAGGGATAGAAAGAAGAAAACAGTCGATGCTGTGCAAATCCCTGGTGTGCGCATGTGCTGAATGTTTTGTGCAACTCTGTGCCTCCAAGGATATAGAGCAGAAATCAGAAAAACCCAGCAAAGGGCATGGGATGACCAGAGGCAAGGCACAGCCTCTATCTGAGGAATGACAGTTTTTGACCTTGGAGAAGAGCTGTACCAAGGGTGGAGGTGAGAAGCCCCTCTTGAGTCCTGAGAGTCATGGGTACATGGGGAGAGGAACATCAGCTCACTGCCTTCCAGCACATGCTGTGCTGCAGGAACATGGCTTTTCACATGGATGGGGAACTCCTTGGCACAGGACATGGTAGGTGCTTGTCATGGTTTTGCTGGTTCTTAGAAACTAAGCAGGAATTTTTCCCTTCCCCCTGACCACTGTGTGAAGGGGATGTTGAATGGGCAGATTGACTGTGGTTTAGGCATTTAAGTAACACAAAAGAAGTGGTTGGTAAGGCCACATTCCTAGTTGATGACCCTCAGGATCTTGTCTTTGGGGAGGGATTAGGAGTTCCTTTTTACTTTTTTTCCTCTCGTCTCCTGGGAAATGGGGGAGGGGGAGGAGTTCAGGTTGCTACTGAAGCTGGAACAAGGTCAGAGTAGGAGCTCAGAGGTGGCTTTGTTCTCAGACTAACTGCCAACTCTGAATTCTGCTTGGATTTTTTATCAGAAAAGAACTGTTTTGGGAGGTTTTCCCCTCCTCCATTCCCACTTTTCTTTCTTGGCAGCGGTTCTTGTGCACATCAAAGGGAGAGGGAAAAACTATATGGCAGGATTCAGTCAACAGGACAGAGTTCCCGTTGGGAAGGACCTTTTTTTCTTCCTCTCCCGCCTCTCTCTCTCCTTTCCCAGTGGGGGGGGAGGGAAGACCTCCATTTTCGGTTTCTCAGGAGGGTGTTTCCACACATGGCAACGACCAGTGATCCAACAGCGCCCCCTGCTGACCAGCACAAAGCACTGCAGGCTCTGCATCTCCAGTGATCCAACAACATCTCCTGCTGACTGTCATGGGACACTACAAGCTCTGAATCTCTGATGATCCAACAGTGCCCCCTGCTGACTGTGGTTAGAATTGCACCCAAGGGCACAAAAAGAACTGTTTACCTTTTTTGTTTGTTTATTTTGTTTGTTTTGAAAGGGATTTTTTGGGGGGGTATAGGAGTAATGTTTGGTTGTTTTACTTGTTTTCTTTCATTGTTTCTACCACTACACAGATATCTTTAAATAAAGGGTTGTTATTCTTCCTTTTTCCACTTTTTTTCCCCTCAGTTGGAGCCTCTTATTTCAGATTTACAATTTCTTAGAGGGAGGAGTTTGGGTTCTGCTCATAACTCATCCTCAGCAAAACACTTGTGTCTCATTTAAACTGAGACAGTGCTAAAATCCGAGTGATGTAAAAGGCATTGATTCGCTAAAGCAAAAGCCAGTTAGTCCTGCTAAATAAAAACACAGATGACCTGGCTTAGAAAGTCCCTGAACTGCCAGATGATGGTGCAGCATTCAGGGGAAGCTTCATGACATAGTTGCTCCACCCTTCCCCAGGCACTGGCTTTTGACAGCTGCTGATGAATGGAACATAAGGTGAGATGAAGATTTGGTCTAATGGTATGCCACTTGTTATGCAATACCTTTTAGAAATTCCTTACCTGATTTATTTTGATGTTTCCTCCGCAGAAAGTGCAGGTTTTCCAGAGAGAAAGTTTTTGTTTCAAAGTGCAAGGCAGTTTCAAAAGACAAAAATAAATAATAACTGATATCTGAATGAAACTTTTTGAAATTATGAAACCAAGAAGTTTTACCTGAAAAAGAGAGTAGGCTTTTTAGTTCCTCTAAATGTCAGAGATTGGATTTATTTGTTCTCTTTGAACAGGACAAATGCCAGTCCTAATTGTTTCATAGAATACCAGATTGGAAGGGATTGCAAGGATCATCCGGTCCAACCTCTGTTAGCAAAAAGATGGTCCAGCACCCTGTCCAGTCAAGTCTTAAAAGTGTTCAATGCTGGGGAATCCACCACTTCCCTGGGGAGATTATTCGAATGGTTGACTGTTCTCACTGTGAAAAATTTTCCTCTTTTTTCCAATCAGAATCTCCCCAGGAGTAACTTGTAGCCATTACCTCTCATCTTTGCCATGTGACTCCTTGTAAAAAGGGAGTCTCCATCTCCTTTGTGGCCACCCTTTAAATAATGCAACATGATGATAAGGTGTTCCCTAAACCTTTGTGAAGAAAGATTAAGCTCAGATACCCTCAGGATCAGGCAGTAGAAGGAAATGGAGAGTTTATTTCTGAAAGCTGAGAATGCTAACATGACATCACTACCTGCACCAGGCACGGAAAAACATGCCTGCAAAGCAGTTGGCAAGGACGGTTGCCACAGCTCAGGCAGCTGCAGTGGCGGTGGTGCTATTCCCAGACAGTAGAGGCAGAGACCACTTACCACATACGAAAGGGAATTTCCCCGACTGGTGGCCATGACCAACAATGATGCCTTAAAATCTACATTATATAGATTATAGTATAACTTTTTAGCACTTTTGGTATAGCTTGCTAGTGCCTTTGGCCTGTTAGTACCTTTGTACAAGACTTCTAAAAATGTTGTTTAATATTTCTTGTCAAGAATTTCAATGGACAAAGATTGTAGCAAGATAAAGAACATTTTGTCTGTAGCAAAAGACATAAAAGGCACATTGTTTGATATAACTGAGTCAGAGCTACTCAGAAGCCTTGAAACTGTTCCAGAAGGCTGTGCCAAAGACCAAGGAACAAGATAAGGAAGAGGAACACGATGAAGATAAAGGGTTGTTGAGATCTCTGAATCAAATTTGAAAGGTGTGTCTAAGGTGGGATAAGGGAGGTGTGATGGGATGGACGGTTTTGGGAAGTGGATGTAACAGATTATGTAATGTTAGATATTACAGTATAAAACTACAGCACCTCTGTAACTCGGTGTGTGTGCTTCGGAAATTATTCCAAGGCACCCAGCATTCTGTAAATAAAAAGTGCTTTGCTTTCTAATACTCAAAAAGGAGTGTTAGAGGGTTCTGTCTGGCCATTTAAGGCATCAATTGGGGGGGGGGGGGGGCGGCCTGGATGGGAACTGCAAAAGTTGGGGTGTGGGGTGTCTCCAGGGGTTCAGCGGTCAACAGCTCCCTCCCAGCTGCAGTCTCAGGAATCAAAAAGGGAGTGTTCCAATCCTGGTAGCAAGTTTTATCCTCTTAAGTTCTTGCAGTATCTCCTAGTGGGACCCTTCATCACTCCCCACTTCCCAGCCTGCACGGGGGAAAGAGTGAGGAGATGTCCCCTACACTCTTCAAAACCACATGACGACATGAAAAAATTCAACCAAAAAAATCTTTATTTAGCTAAATCATAACAGAATGTCTGCAAGGACTTTTCTTGTACCAGGAAGTCAGCCTCTCTGGAATGCAGGAGGAGAAAACACATAAGACTTATCCCTGGCAAGATGCCTCTTTCCCAGGCAGCAAGGGACCAGAAAAAAATACATTTCTTCAATATCTCTTGTTGAATTTTATCAGGACAGTCTTGGTCAGCTGTGTCCCACATGCTAATGTGTCAGGTTGCTTTTGGAAGGCAAATTTTCTTTTCCCAGTTTACAGCATTACTTCTCATTCAGTTGCAAAAATGTCACTAAAAAGTAATAGCCACAAATCATGCATAAAAGTGGTATATTTAGATTATCATTCTGTTCAATTATCTACAAAGTTAAAGGATGTTTCTTTTTCACCGTAATCATAATCAAGCACTCAGATACAGTCACATGTACTATTTACATCTCATGATATCACTAACTATGGACACTGTAACTTTTTTGTGTGCCAACTCAAGACCTTTTTCAAAACATAGTAATAAATTTTGTCGATCCCAGATGTTTTCTTACAGTAGGAGGGACTATGCTCTTCCAGTCACCATCTTGTAGTCCATCCACTTGAGAGGTGTAGGAAGAGAGATTGAAGTTCGGGGCAGCTGACCTGAACTGGCCAAAGGCATATTCCATACCATAGAATGCCATGCTAAGTATATAAACTAGGGGGAGTTGACGGGAGGAGACTAACTGGGTATTGGTCAGAAGGTGGTGAGCTATTGTGCATCACTTCTTTCTCTTGGGTTCTATTAATTTCTCTCTCTCCTTTTCATTACTATTATTATTGTTATTATTATTATCATTCTTATATTTGATTACATTTTATTTTGTTTCAATTATTAAACTGTTCTTGGTTCTACCCATGAGATTTACTTTTTTTTTAGGATTCTCTTTTTCCCTGTCATGGAGGAAGTGAGTGGTTGCATGGCACTTAGTTGCCGACTGAGGTCAAATCATGACAGTTTCTTCCAGTTTGTGTTTAATATCGCTTAAGGCTGGTAAACAAATAGATTTTTCACAAAAGACCGCAAGTAGAGTCACTTCATTTCCCAAAATAAATTGTACCATGCCAGTGCTTCTTAGCACTGGCTAGCAATGTAATTATCTCTAATTCTTACAACCTTCAGTATCATTAGCTAAATTTGTAATTTTTTTCTTTGAACTACATGCTCAGTTCTTTGGCTCTACTCTAGCAAGTACTTCTAGGGTACTCTTGAGAGTCCACTGATCATGCCATGCGGTTTTTGAAGGACAGATCACATAGATCAACCTAGAGTCACCACCACATAGATGGTCATTCTTCTGGAGGACCTATATTTATCTCATGGCATCTGGTTTCTTTTCAGACAGCCAGGTTCTTCTAACATAACCCTTCTTGGGGTGTATGTGTGGAGATTCCTCCCTTGGCTGGGGACATCCTCCAAGGATACTCCTCGAGGTTGAGAGAAAGAGATCCCCCCACGAACATTGGTATGGGTTAGTTACATCAAATCTCTACTTAAAAATTATTTCCTTTTTGCTAGTTTTAATGTAATTGTTTCAATAATTGCTTCAATATAGTGCACTGTCCTATCTTATACTACACTACTAGTAGTTTTAGCATTTATACTGTGTAGTAAATAATTCTGATTAAGATCTTTTGTCTGATCATTTGTAATAATAAATTATTCATTTTACATAAATATTCTCATTTTGCCTATCATCAAGACCTGCGGGAAAAAAGTGGTTCAATCATACCTCTGTAATTCCTTAAATTTAAACCGTTGACATAATCCAAGGCTAAGATTGAATTCAGTCACACCTAGATTCCTCACTGAGATGGGGTTTAGAAAGCAAGGGAGGCCTTTCTGCACCTCATGACTCAACGTCGGGGCTTTTTAATAAATTCTGTCTAAGCCTTCCACTCCCACCCATGACACCAGGAAACCAGGAAAAAAACAAGGGGTTTTTTGGATGTTTTTGATGATATTTGTTTCTAGCATGTCCTTTTGTCCACAGCTAGGAGCTTCACTCAACCTGTCCACTTAATGGAGCTTGTATTACACATCTAGTGAAATATTTCTGACTTACCTCAGTACTAACTGCTTCATCTGAGGGATTGATCAGGGCTACAGTTTCTAAGGCATCACTTCTGTGGTGAAGAATCTTTTGACCTGCAAGCGCAGAGAGGAAAAAGAAGACATTAAATGCAACCAGTATGGTTTAAACCAGTGCTTTCCCAGAGCTAGTTATACATTCCACTGTGTGACAGCCCTCGGGTTACACAGGACAATACACACTGGCCGCAGCAACTACTGTGCTCGCTCACGTCTTCAAGAATACACATGGCATGTGATCCTATGGACCAGAAATGCCACTCTGGAAAATTCATAGAATCACAGAATGGTTTGGGTTGGAAGGGGCCCTGTAGTGGGTTTCTGTGGCTAGATTTTGGTAGCAAGGGGGCTACAGGGGTGGTTTCTGTTAGAAGCTGCTAGAAGCTTCCCCTCTCTCATGGAACCAATGCTAACTGGCTACAGGATGGTCTTCCTGTCTCTAGCCAAGGCCGAGCCAAACAAGAGTGATAGTAATGCTTCTGTGATAACATATTTAAGAAAAGAAATCTATTGCACAGATGAAAAATCCAGTAAGGGAAGAGTGGAGTAAGAACATGTGAAAAACAATGTAGACAGCAAGGTCAGTGCAGAAGGAGGGGGAGGAGGTACTCCTGGCACCAGACCTGAGGCCTCTGCAGCCCATGGTGAACACCATGGTGAAGCAGGCTGTCCCCCTGCAGCTCATGGAGGACCATCGGGGTGCAGACACCCACCTGTAGCCCGTGGTGGAGCCCATGCCGGAGCAGGTGGATATGCGAAGGAGGCTGTGACCCCGTGGGACGCCCAAGATGGAACAGAGTCCTGCAGGGGACCTGCAGCACGCGGAGAGAGGAGACCACGCTGGAGCAAGTTTTTCCCTGGTAGGACTTGTGGCCCTGTGGGGGACCCACCCTGGAGCAGCTCATTTGTGAAGGACTGCACCCCATGGAGAAGTGACCCATGGGACAGCAGTTTTGTGAAGAACTGTTGCCCATGGGATGGACTCATGCTGGAGAGGTTTGTGAAGGACTGTCTCCTGTGGGAGGGATCCCACGGGAAGCAGGGGAAGGACTCTGAGCAGCAGCAGAAACAACAACTGACCGTAACCCTCATTCTCTGTCTCCCTGAACCGCTGCTGGGGAGGAGGTAGAACTTGGAAGGAAGGAGGGGTGGGAGGAAGGTGTTTTTAAGATTATTTTACTTCTAACTCTTTTGCTCTGACCCTGTTAGTAATAAATTCCATTAATATCCCCACTTTGAGTCTGTTTTGCTGGTGATGATGATCAGCAAGTGACCTCTCCCAGCTCTTATCTCACCTCATGAATCCTTCACTGATTTTTTTTTTTTCCTCTGTCCAGTTGCAGAGGGGAAGGAAGAGAGTGGTTTTAGTGGGTACCTGGCATCCAACCAGGATCAACCCTGGCTGCAAGCACACATTGTTGGTCATGTCAACCTTCTCATCCACCAACACCTCCAAGTCCTTCTCCTCAGGGCTGCTCTCAATCTATTCTCCACCCAGCTTGTATTTGAGTTTGGATTGCCCTGAGCCAGGTGCAGGACCATTCTTTTGTCCTTGTTGAACTTCATGAGGTTTGCACAGGCCCACCTCTCAAGCCTGTCAAGGCCCCTCTGCATGGCAGCCCTTCCCTCCAGCATGTAGACCTCACCACACAGATCGGTGTCATTGGCAAACTTTCTGAGGGTACACTCAATCCCACTGCCTATGTTGCCGACAAAGATGTTAAACAGCCCTGGTTCCAACATTGACCCATGAGGAATGCCACTTGTCACTGATCTGCACTTGGACATAGAACCATTGACCACAACTCTTTGAGTGCAACCACCCTACCAATTCCTTATCCACTGCAAGAGTGGTCCATCTGTCAAGTCCATGCCTCTCCAGTTTGGAGACAAGGATGTTGTGCATGACAGTGTCAAATGCTTTGCAAAATTTCAGAGGCAAGCGTAGCGGTCTTCATCACGTAAATGTGCCTGTTTAGAGCTTCATATGTGACTGCCTCCCTCTTACCCTCCTTGGCATCAGTAACTGATTATCTTACAGGGTGAGTAGTTGATTTTTGTAAGAGAAATGCAGGATTGTTGCTCAGGTTGATACTCAGATGCTCAGCTGCAGAAGATATGGGGTTGCTTTAAAGTAACTCTACCAGGTTTTTACAGCATATCTCTACACATTGGACAAAACAGTTTTGTGACCCGTCAAAGGAAGAAAGGAAGAAATTTCCAGGTTGCACAGAAGTGGTTGAGTAGCTAGATTGTACCCACCTCTAGTTTCTGTAAAGTAGGTCAAGATCCTGTCTAAAGACTTCTGGAAAAATAATGTATCTGTTTGGAAGAAATCTAAGTATTTCCTCATCCTTGATTTTATTCAGTAAAGCTTCAAATTAAAAACAGGTATGAATAAAGAGTCTTGGCTGCTGCTTGATTCAGAATCAGTCCAATATAGAGAAGTAGTAAATACCATGTCACAGTTCTTAAAAGGGTGATTTCCATGTGCATCATTCTAGTTCCCACAGCCATGAAATCCCATTGCTTGCCTACTCAAATATTAATGACATCTATGGTAGAATTATTGAGATTGGAATAGTGTATGTAACATTTTCTAGAGAAGTGACTGAAAAAGTTCCTAAATTACATAGTTGATCTTTTCAGGCTGATCAAGCATCACGATCACGGGGCCCACTTTTTATGGTGATTATGTTGCAGTTAATTTTGTGCAAAACCAAAATGTAAAGGAATAGCAAGGGAAAGAAAGCAAGCCCTGCTTCAAGTCTTGTTGTCATAGTTCTGTTTTCAGAAAGGAATTTTGCTTTTCCTTTCCCCTTCTTTCCCCCTCCCCCCTGCATGAATGCTATTCAAGAACCATCAAGTGAACAAAAGAGTCGGCCTGGCTCCTAACGACCGAGAATTAGTCTCCTGGCAACAACGGGGGAGGAGTTGGGAAGAAGGCGGGGTGTTGGGGAGCTCAGCTCGGGAGCCGGGAGGGGAGACTGCCTGGTTTCTCCTTTGTTTCTTTTTTCCCTGTGGGAGCCCTCTGCAGAGTTACGGGCTGGTTGCAGTCTTGGTTCTTCTCCACCGCGGGACCTCCACCGAGTCGTGAGTTTTTCTTCTCTTCCATTAGGAGAACTTTCTGTTTTCCCTTCCCCCTCCCCCCTCCTCCCTTGCCACCCGGCGGAAACCAGGGATCCCACAGCGCCGCCCGGTGACGAGCGCTGGACATTGCAAGTTCCACTCCTCTAGTGATCCAACAGCGCCACCTGGTGACTACTATAGAACATTACAAGTTCTGCACTTTTGATAACTCAACAGCGCCACCTGGTGACTACTATAGAACATTACAAGCTCTGCACTTTTGATAACTCAACAGCGCCACCTGGTGAACGATATAAGACATTGCAAGTTTTTACATCTCCAGTAACGCGACGGCGCCCCCTGCTGACTGTGGCTGGAACTGCACCAAAGAGTGCTAAAAATTGAACTATTTGATTTTCTTTTTTTGCCGGTTTTATCGGTTTTGTTCTTGAAGGGGATTATTGGTGGGTATAGGGGTATTGTTTGGTTGTTTTACTTGGTTTTTTTTTCCCTTCCTTTTTTCCCTCGTGTTACGTTAATACACACATACTTAATAAAGGGCTGTT